TTTTTTTTTTTTTTTTTTTTTTTTTTTTTTTTTTTTTGACAAGGGAAATTATATTTAACAAAAAAAAATAAGCAGAAAAGCTGAGAAGTCTGGCTGAGCTTTTACTCGAGTCCTGATATTTTCCGACCAGAGGAAGAAGAAGAAGAAGCGATGGGTTTCGTCCTAATTTCTTCTTGTCCCCCGTCTTCCCTCGTCCCCGTCTCTCAGCTTCACCAGGTCTGTCTTCTTTCTTCCAAAACTTTTAATCTGATTGTCTCTTTTCCAATCTATTAAACATTGCTCCGTTGTCGGTGGTCACACAAATCTTTCTCTTATCAATCAGTTCTCCGCCGGAACCAAAAGCAATGAAATTTCAATTCGTCATCAAATCTTTCCGACACGTAGAAGCCTAATTTCGAAACCACGCTGCTTCAATCTCCCTCAAGAACCTATTCTCTCAGAGGCTCTCAAGGTACATACACTCTTTATCCCAGAAAATCTTGATGATGTGTTTGTTTCTTTGTTGTTTACATCATATCCTTTTTCAAATTTTGATGAGTTTATATGATTGTTGTGGTTGTTTAGGAGCCAATTGCATTTATGGGTGGGGTGTTTGCTGGGTTACTGAGACTCGATTTAAACGATGAACCGCTCAAGGAGTGGGTGACGCGAACAGTTGAAGCCTCAGGTATTACTGAAGAGGAAGTTGGTGGAGATGGGATGGCCTCGAATGAAGAAGAATCTCCTCAACAGATTGAGATTGAATAATGAGATCTAAGTTGTTATCTATCGTCGTTTAATGTGGTTGTCTTGTGTATGTTTGTAACCTTGTGTTGTTTATCTAAGAAGAAACATAAATCAAGGCTTTCAATCTTGAGTAATATCTAGCTCTTATGTGTCTTAATGAACGTTACTCTGACATGTCTTTAGATTAGGAGTGAAAGTGTTTTATTCAATTTAGAACGTGAAGATATTACATTTTACTACGTATCATCATCATCCATAGTCTCTAAATTAGAATAACTAAATTCGGTTCACATGCCAAAGATTCAAAGTTGTGATATTAATTTACCATATATTGTTTTCATCCAAATCAACTGAACCACGTTATAATGAAACAAAAGGCATTTTCGAAGATCCATTCACTAACTGCAACCATCCAACATAGCAATGCCTAGACTTCACTGGTTTGAATTCTCTGGTTTCACAATGGCCTCCTGTTTGTGGATATTCGACTACACTGATCAGACTGTTCAGATGTCTCTGTTAGGGAAGCTAGATGCTGGCCTTGTTACGTTCATCATACCTTCTGATACATTTATATCTCTAGAGTGAGAGCTTCACTTTTCATGGAACTGTGATTTGATTGACCTGGCCTAAAATTGGAAAATTGTTTTGCAGAGTGGTCTGATGAACGCTGAGTAAAAACTGGTGTTGCTAGGAACATTGATGGTATTCTATTTTTTGTATTTTCAATCAGCTTATAGAGGGTACACTTGTTGTTGCTTACTGAAGATTCGAATATGAGAGTTTCAAAAGAAGTCTTGCTTTTTTATACAAGTATCATCAAAAAGCTATAAAACTATTAATCTTCAATTTGGTTTGGTTGTTGAAGGATGATCTGGGGGTTAAATCTGTTTTCACGTTTATTAATTACTCTTTTGGAAGATAGATCAAGGCTGTAGTTGCAAAAATCGAGCAAGGACAAGAGTCTGAATGATTACAAATATTGTTTTATCTATATCTTCAAGAACATGAAATTTCTTGTATCCGTAGAGTATATATACGAATGAAGAGATGCTACCACAAACCAGTTTGTAGGTTGTGATTGATATATGAGAGTCGGATTGCATACCATCTCTAGGCTTTTGGAATGGGCCAACCTGACCCAGTTCGACTCTGATATGGCCTTAAATTCAGCATTAAAATTTGATTATCCTTTGGTTCTTTAACTGTTGAGATTTTGTAAGTACTGTATGTTCCTTGGTGTGTTTGCCTAGTGGCCAACCTGGTCCGGCTCATTTTGACCCAACATTAAGTAGTCTGGTTCTGATTTAGACTTGGCTTCAAGCTCAGTCCATGGGCTTTCAACCGCAACATCCCTACTCGTGAGTTGCATTTCCACCTAGGAAACATCCAAGCGTGTTACTGCGGTAGTGAGATGGTTAAAGTAAACGATGCATATGAGCTACTTATCATCATCATTCGTAGAGCCAATGCGTTTTGGCCATTCTTTGGTCAAAAACTAAAATCTCAATTAAGACGCAAGAATATAGGTCATTTCCTTGGGTACTACTCCAGGCAAATGTATTAATGCACTTTGACGTGTGGAAGATCAGTCAATTTTGTGTGTGTTTGCGGCAATACGATGGCCTACAATGATTGCTATTTTCTTTTGTGGGTTTCTGGATTAGAGAGAAAAAAGGAAAAAGCCAAGAAATAGATGTTAAGTTTTGGCTTACAAGAAGCGTGAAATTAGGAAGGGACAAGGTTTTGTCGTTGAAATTGTATCGAGACAAGCAAAATTGAAAGACAGGACACACGGGTGGGGATGTACAGAGTAAGATTAGTATGGTCCACTCTTAAAGACTACTATAATATGGTCACACACTCCCTCTCTCTCTCTGTTTCGTTACTTTCACTCGTAAGCGTTTTGCATTTATTCGAAACAATGACTACAAACTATCCCAAAACATCTCATGATTGTCCAACTTAGACCAAAGTATATTCCTAAGCTGAAAAAACGTTAATTATTATACAGCTTTATACAACACAAAAACGACTGTCCCTACTTTCATAAACAAATTAATCAAAGTAAAATATAGACGACATGTAATGGTTCTATATAACATGATCTTTTATATCAAACCTCTATCGAGTGTATTTTCTTTAGAAATGGACATAGAGACAGAGAAAAGTTGGATAAGAGAGATGCAGCGAATCTGACCAAAAACTGAGGGAGAGAGAGCCCACAACACCAATGTGAGGACGAACTCTAAAGTGCGTGCAGGCGTAAGGACTAAGGAGGTGGAGTCGTGTCAAATGTTGCATCTATCTAATTGTGAGTCTTTCTTTCGTGGTTCTCTCTTTTTTTTTGAACTAGTTCCCTCTTGAACTCGTGGCCTTCTCCTAACCTCTCATTTACACTGACACCACACACCCACGGCTTACACACGGTCACATTTTTCTTTATCTATTTACATGTTCAAATGATAGATCACCTTTTAACCATCTATATGTACTGTCTTTCTTGAACTAAATGGGAGATATCAAGATCGATATTCTTTTTTGAACATGTAGATCGATATTTTACTAATCCTTAAAAACATACCATTGATGCACTGTTAAAAGATATACTTTTATTTTCGTTTGGTTGAACAATAATAACTTAAATATTTTAATAGGTACAAATTCAAAATTTACATCTCGGCTCAAATATTTCCTTTTACCACCATGCTATTACTGCTTGACCTTGATTATTTCGGATTTTTTCGACGATATAAGCATCTAGCTAAAGTGAATTTTTGGTTGTTATTTATTAAAATATATTACTGCTACATTGTACTGTCTTTTGCATGTGTATAACAATGTAACCCCCCCCCCCCAAAACATCATATGCATTCACCATCTTCTCTAATTAAATGTTGTAAGAGTCTACAATTGCTCAAAAGAAATAGCTATGTAACGCATTTATATCCATAATCACTGATTTATACTATCTAGTAACAAATAGTTTTTCACTAACGTTCATTACCCTATATATTTTTGTTTGTCTATAAACGAGTTCCCAATTTTGAACGTAAACATTGATGCACAATATACCAAAAAACATTAATGATCTATTTTGCTATAGACAACTGTAGTTTGTAGATGCACAACGTCTGTGTGGTTAGGAAAGCAAGCTGAAAAGGTCAGCATCTCACAAACTAGTGTTCTTGGGTCTAATCAAAACAATCGTGGATAGATTCTCTTTTCTATAGGTATGCATTATTTTGAATCTATCGAGTTGACAATATATGTATAGAGTATATATATTTCCAGTGTAACATGAACAGTTTATTTAGTCATATTTACGAAACAGACACGATCTGATGAGGTTGGAATGCTTTTGTGTTGGTAGCTAGACGAAAACGACAGCATTTTTTTCCTTCTGCTGGGCGATATCCAGAAAGCAACATGAGAGGACAGTTGAGAGGAAACTCATCGTTTTTCTTAAGTGAACAGTAAAGCGTGTTCCCTTTTATCTTTTGCTTTAATATTTTGGGTCATAGATCTGTCTCTTTTACCCATTCATTCACTCAAATACCAAAACACATCAATTAAATCCAAGACTTGTCGGCTACTCACATCCTACATTAACCATGCTTTTAATTCATTCATCATATCCAATTCTTTTGATGGGTCTTGGAATGAGGGGTAGCTATCTAAGCCATACCCGGTTTCAACTTGATATTGGTCCCAATGTGTTCTTTGGGCATTCTAAAATTTGAATATGTATATGAATAGTTTACAAACAAAAATCGTTGCTATGGATTATACACATGTCAAAGTTCTGAATTTGATTAACCGAGTCCGATATAGTACAAATATATTTATTAATATTTTTAATTAGTTTAAAATTGTATACAAACTCTTTTTAGATAACTATAAGATGTTTTACACACTTCATTTTTTATATAAAGTTAACATTAGATGAATGACTAGTTTATTTGTTTTCTGTTAGTTTTTCTTTTAACTTTTTTTTTTCTGTTAGTTTTGGTGTTGTATGGGCTATCTCAACGATTAGATGTTTCACATGCAAAAGAGTTTTAAGTGATGTTTGTGATGCATGTTTATTGTTTTTAATAGTGAAAGTTCCGGACGTTAGGTCCATAATTTTCTTCAGATCTGAAATCAGCTTTGAGATATTGTGATTTGAATTCTGTTGAGAACAAACGCGAATCATAACTAAAAAGTAAATAGAGGAAAATGTATTGAGGTAAATACATCTGTAGAATTTGTATATCTTTACAATCTTTTGACCCATATTCATATCAGTTTCAAAAATTTGATTTTTTTTTTCTTTTAGGAATATATAATTATCCTGAAAAAGAAATTTATAAACTTAAAAAACTACCATATCAATGAATATTGATATTTTGATGATGCACAAATAAACTTCAACTTCAATGTATTACTAATAGGCAACCAAAACTATGGTTGCATGTTTGATTTGAGGTAGAGAAAAGAAAATCTCACTTTAGAAAAGCAGTCTGTTCAAGATCATTCCCATCGTCATATTCACAATAATCTATTAATTGGGGAACAAACCGATTGTTTACATTTCAAGTTCACATTTTGGCAAAACTTTTTCTAGTGAAATCGTAAGTTTTATCATTGAAACGTTTTGAGCCTTTTTATTAAATTGAAGTAGAAAAATAAAACCTTATTCGAATTTAAGTTTTACGGCTATTAATATATTCGGCAGCAACAATTACTCAATCAGCCATTGTATGTAAATATATTAGATCTATTAGTAGTCCTACCAAATAGTCATATGGTTTGTATATTTAATTATTTCATTTAAAATATTATAGTTTATGATTGTGAATTGTTGGAATAAAGAATATGTGTTTTGTATTATACATATGATTATGATTTTATGAGACCATACATCTTTTATTGTTGTTAGAATATTCTTCTGCAGTTTACATTACAATACTAGTGAGGCACATGGTTAACTAACAACGTTTAACCTTTCTTTGTGCTACAAACATATCCAAGTAATGTCAAATATCATGGAAGAATTTTCTCCGAAATTCTTAACAGATTCCAAATCATATAGAACTATTTTCATGCATATCAACTGATACTGAATTAACTGTTTTAAAACAAAACTTTCGTGTGTGGTTTTATTCAACTTTAAAACGTATTATCTATAAAACCAACAATGATTTACATAACTTATTTTCAAGATTTAGAAAAGACTGTGAAACCG